ATTTATAGTTATGGCGATCCGCTATTGATGAAAAACCATACATATCAACAACACATCAAGGTATGTGTCTCCGTCGTACTAAACCAATAAGTACTTTAATTGGTGTTTGAAAGAATAACAATAAGTTGACCTGGCTACACAATAACCGGGGTGTCCCAGAATTCTCTCCATTAAAGGATGCTTAAAATAACAAATTTAGAAAAAATGTTATCTGCATAAGTGACCACTAAAGATGCATATTTTTCGACTTTCAGTGTTCGCAAATTTGAACCCTGACGATTGCTTTGCAAGATAACGAACCTGTGACAACTCTGGGAATAACTTGGAAGAGTTGCTTGTGGGAAGATTAGTAGCGAATGGAAATACATTATTTAGTTACGGTCCCCACTCAACAGTAAGCAGACATCAGACTGAATATCAACGAGTGTTCGAGCAGCGTACACTTCAGTTTGACATGAATCAACGTGCACATCCAAAACGTGCCTTACTACAGCATGTTCAGTGCATTTGTCGATTCAAAAACTCTGATCCAACTTCCCGAACCTAAACCACCTGCGTCGTTGTCCAAAAGCAGCCTGCTTGAGCACCTGCTGATACAAAAGTCCAGATGCCCTAAGATCTCCCTATTTCCCGATTATGTTGAGATTCAAAGATGTAATGTATCGAATTAACGTGTATACACGGAGGAATATTTGAGTGCTCGCAATGGACGCCCCACTGACAACGAAGCCGGATGGCATGCAGAGGTGGATTTCAAAATCAACCTGAAAATTGGCAGGAGTTTGTTACACTTCCGGTTAGTCTGTTCGCCTATGTGACGGAAACTACACTTAAGCAAGAAAAAAACAGACGTGGAGTGGTGGTTGGTGAATCTGAAGTGTGCATCAAACAATTGGAAATGCGCTCCACCTGTTGGTTTCTAACAAGAACCCACCTTCTGCTTCCACTTCCTTGAAACGCAGTACAAACTGTATATGGTTCACAAAGTTTCTCGCACTGGACACGGTAAGTGACTGGATAGTTGAAAACCACGAATGTACCGGGTCCCACTAGCTTTATCATACATACCATTCAGTCAAGCTGAGCGATGCCTTGGTGCAATTTAACCGTCGACAATGAGGTCGCAGCCTGCTTTCACTTTGAAGAATGGAGATGCATGGTCACAAGTGAAGATTTCGGAGGCTTGGAGGTGGGCGTCGCACCAACAATGTTTTACTGTTGATAACGTTGGCCAAACAATAAAGCAGAAATTCGACCAGTTCGCTTCACTGTCCAGTCAACGTCTATTCGTGAAAGGCTATACCAGTGGACATCAAAAACTTCAGTAGGTTTGCCACTTCTGAGCAGGATTTTATCGAGAACTTGTCTGGTGCACTGGTTTGTGGCAATTCAACCTATCCCACCGAACTTGCACGCCAATCATCTGTTCACAAAGCACGTGATTCGCACGTGGTGGCAGACCAGCCGGGAGCCAGTCTACTAGCAGGCGGCGGAGAAGCATTGTTTTCTCACGGTCAGCTGACCATTGGAATTCGTACGGTTGGTGTGGAGTGTATCCCCGGGTGGTATATTCAGATGTTGGTAGCCAGTTCAGAGAAATAAGAGGATACACGAATTAAAACAGTGACTGTCACATTTGATCGTTATTTCTACGAAGTCCACAACGCCAGGGGATCGCGGCAAGTACCACTAGTCTCCTCAGTGCAATGAACCAATTGGAAGTAATTCAAGAATTTGGCTATCAGCTTTGGGATGTACTGTCCGTCTCCAAGCATTTTTTCGAAACACAGCCTTAACCTCGGACTTTTCAGACGTTTGTGATTCATCTTCGTGTTCTGAGTCCACCGGGTTTATGTTCCAACCAATCTCGTAAAAACAGACTCAGCGGAAGTCCTTCTGACTAACTAAGAATTAGAAGCACTTGAGTCATGCTCACGATCTGAACTAGAGTTCCGGCATTAACGGAAAAGCTGAACTATTTCATGGAAGTTGCGGTACGCTTCAACAAGCTAATCTATGGGGCAATCCAGCTGAAGGATTCACCATTCAGCCTGTCCGAGCAATCTTTTATGTCTGAGCGAGTGGATAACAGTTTTCATTGTCATACGTTGTTTAAAAAGGCATAAACGCGTCAGTAAGATGTCTCGCGACCAGGGTCCTCTCAATTTCAAAAACACTGTGAGATACTTAATGAGACTCAGGAAAACTGGCACCTGCTATCGATGTTGAACATCTCAATATTGAAAAATATCACTTAATCACTTGCAAGCGCATTGTAGGACACAAATACTTCAAAATATCACTTGCGTCTCGAATGAACATAATACGGTCTGGCTGTTGAGTCATGGGATCTGTCCAGGTTTTCCACCTTCATCTAAGAAAGCCATGCTTAGATCTACGCATAATAATGGTGAAATTCAACGTTGCGATAGTAACCCCCGGAATTTTTAGCTATGAAGTGTAACCATACTTGATTAATCAGCGGTCTTTTTAAGGAGCATGCTTCAACAGCGGCATACACCGTCATTTTGTGGCACACGAAAGGGGAACAAGTTCATCACAATAATGACTTTAAACTTACGTACCTATAGATCGAACGAATTCCACTGAAGCATGGGTGATCAGGCTTCTGCATCCGTATTTATGGCACCGGTTTGTCGTAGACAGAGTAGCCAGCCCACGTTGTTCTCATATCGACGCAGATAATGTTTCGACACTTTGCATTAGCAGGGTGATGAAGTAAATATTCCACAGATAAAATTTTAAAAATTGGTTTGGCAGCGACAAGAGCACAGTGCGCCGCATCAGGTGTGAAACGGTTCGCATTGTGCGCTACTTGAAAGAACGAGTAGTATAAAATGAACGGTGACGGCACCTTGGGAGGTCCCGAATCGCCACCGTGCCACTCAAGAACACGCATCACTGGCGTTTGCAACCGGCAGGGACTCCGATGGCACGAAATTCCTAAACATAAGGGATTTTGATCGACACTTTAGCAAACTAAGGTATCCTTAAAATTCACACACGATTTCAGAGAATGAAGCTTTTTTTCAGTCTTGAATTATTGGCCTGGGTTCTCTACCAAGCAAGATGTCGCGAACGTTGTCAGCTCTTTCGCGATTATACCATCAGTTGGGTGTGACGCAAAGCAGCGGTACGTGCACAAAACAACAGCTGTATACAACCAAATTGTGGCGCTGGATAATCGGTGCTGCTATCCGATGAGAAGTGCCTTTTGTAATTTTTTAACCATACGGTACGGTGTACAAGGTCACGTAAAACAGAATCCCAAACATCTAGACCAGAAGCTTCCTTAATTTCATGTCGTACATTATTGCCGTCTTCCATGCTTCCTAAAAAATCTAACCTGCTTGTGACTGCACAACAAGCAAATCATGTCCGTTATTGACGATACCCATTTCAAAACCTACTTTGATGGTTAAGCTGCATTTTCGTTTGCTGAAGCTGCAAGGCATTTGGTAATCCACTGGTATGTGTGTGAAAACGGACGGCACGTATAATCGACCTCCCTGGTTCCCTTGAATGTATTCATCGTATAAAACATGCGGTGTCTTTCCTGATCTTAGAATGTTCATAAGGTTGACATAGACATTCGGCGGCTACCAGCATTACTTTTTTCACCAAGCAGGCTGAGCAGTTGTATGTGGAAGTAAACTCTTGCAAGTAAATGAAGATGGTGTTGACCGAAGACTCAACTGGATCTCTCGCAATAGATCCTCTTCGGCTGGGCAACCCATTAGAACCAACTCGATCTATTAACGAGTATTTGATATAAAGATAGCGATCCCCCAGTCATTGCATAGCTGAAATTCGACTTGAAGGAAGCACCATGGCTAAGATTCTGCCAAGACTAGACAGCAGCAATAGTTGTTTGGGTTCAAACAACGGAATTTCCAGTCAGTTACTCCTGCCCTAACTATCGAATTACCTAGCTGCCAGGAATATTTATTGTGATGAATTTCTAGTACATGGAAGGGGATATACCGGAATATTTGTAGCTCATTCATTGGGGGTTGACATGTTCGTTGAACTTGGAAAATTAGCTCGCAAACGCTTCGTCACCAATCAATGGACTCAACCGCGCACTGATGATGTCACATCGACTTGTGGCGAAATGTTTGCAGGCTAACTGTCAAGCTAGGCGAACAGATTAACGGACACCTGATCAATTACTAGCTCGCTTAGGTAAAGCAACAATGAATCTTATCGAGGAGTCACGACGTATGCATGCCCAGACTGCTAAACTTACGAACTGTCTCAAGCAGATTGATGTGCAGCGCTTTTATACTCTGTTATGCATATCATGTGTATTGGGTTATAATCTGAAAGAAGTCCACAGAGTGAGATAAAAAAATGTATGTACAAGGATGATTATCACAGTCAATCGACAAACTATTGTCCTTCACGGGGCTCAAGCTCCTGTCGAGACTTGCCCTTATTTCTGGGAGTGTTTGCCACTCCGCACTCAATCTCCTTTTCCTTGTAGTAATGCGGAGCTACTTCCAAGAGCCATTTGGGTTCGATTTCAATAAGTTGGCGCATAAACTCTTTCGTAGTGAACACCAGCTCGTGATAGATGACCCACTTGGGAAGTTCCTCAGCCAGACAAGAATTCGGGTGGGGATGAATTGTGTGCTTTTGTTTCACAGTCTTGTAACCGTTTCCGGTAAACCGTGCCGTGTGATAAAAAAAGCCCGCAGTAATAGACTGTTGATGAGAGAGGGGAGAATTGGTGAGAGAAATCTGAGAAAATGATAAAATCGATTATTCACAGCCGGACAATCAAATAAATGCGGTTTCAATGTAAAGCCCTCAAGTGCCAACTACCCACTACACAACACCTTCCGAGATCGCACGCCGACGGACATTAGCAGTAGGAATATCTGAAAAACCCATCAGGGTCGTCTTTTCGAAGTAATTCTTCACCAACTAAGGGAAAAATTGAATACGAGCTTAAAAATGCATGACAACCGCTCGTGATTTGTGACTGAGCAACCTCCCAAAGTTTCTCTCACAGTCGAGTTCCGTATGTGTACCTCTTCGTCACTGTCACCATGCACATTGGTCCCGTTCACTGTTTAGGTTACCAATGGAGACTATAGTTGGTATTCATGGATTGTGAACTGTTCCCTTAGTGAAAATTAACTAACACTGACTACATACACTAAAAATCTGTGATGGTTGCGCGAAACTTCTGTACCGACAAGTGATTCAACAAGTTGTAGTCTTGGAGGAAGGGATACCGTCATACCAGCGAAATCCTGGAACCCAACATGGTCGCACCTATGGCCATCATGATTGCACATGCTAATCGATTTGCAGCTGAGTAAAATGGTTCACATGTTTTACTTACAGTTATTAGCCACTGAATGGTATTTACTTGTTTCGGTGCACGTAAGTGTCTGGGTAACCGCACATTCCCGGATATCGTGCACCTATTTCCAGTAAAGTGTTGGTTGTTGCCGGGCTCCAATCTGTTCAGAATTTTTTGACTCTAACGTATCAATTAACTAACATCATTTCCACCGGTCACTTCGAGTTCAAGTGGTGGGTTAAGTGGTGCAGTTCCACGTGTTCCGTAACAACGTAGTCATCGACCCCAGAACGCTACTACGGGCGCTAGACAGCCGCGGAATTACACCGTAAATAGGAAAACCAAACTTCATCAATGACTTCACGCGGCAGGCCAGAGCTTAAGACGCTAAAATACAGAAATGTCAGTAGATCGAGCTTAAGCCGGACCTTCCGACTGCTTCTGTCTAAGCATGGACGACCTGAGCGGATGCTGCAGGTGTTTGTCTCTATAAGCAAGTTAGTCGTTCATACATACGCAAAGTTCTGCGTACGATCACAATAGGTGACCATACCCTTGACAACTGTCTTCACTCAACTGGCCACAGGAACTAAGCTGGATTTGACAAAGTAAGGACATTAAGGTTATCTTCAAGAAGACAAAGATAAAAAAGGCGGAATAAAAATTAGTCAGGTTCTGGTAGTGAAACACATTAGAAGGATAAATCGATGTCCTCGAGAATTTCTAATTTGTGGTCTGCTAATAAAGCTTCTGTGCGTTTCTGTATCGCTGAAACTGAAGGGCTATTTTGAAGTTAACATTTTATTTGTATGCTGCGAACCTGAAAGTAAGACACCATCGCAGATGCAAAATCATGGTTTCACGTTTAATAGATGTGTTGACAACCTCCTGGCTATTGCGATCTAGGAAAGCGAGTGAGCTTGAATAGAGTGAAGTTCAAGCAAAAGTTCATTAACAAACTGAAGACCATGACGCATAAAATGGTATAAAATGAAACAGTGCTGCGATCAAAAGATTCAACTGCCTTAAATATGGCCCAAAAAGTACTTCATGTTGTGAGGTTAATCACATGGGACATTTCACTTGTTTCATGGGAGGGATTGGAAGGGTTTAAGGTTGAAATTTTCCGACTGACCAAAGGCAGGTTGTTCATTGGGCAGACTTCTGCATACTGATGTGACCGAATGCAGATAGACAAAACTAGATAGTCACTCAGAGTCATAAAGCGATCGGCATCGCTTCAAAACAGTATTCCGGGAAGAGGAAGGACTCATACTCGTGAAGATTACGGAGCAGACCCGCTGTAATGCTAACTTGCCCTTGCATAGAGGTTGAATGCTATAGCGCCCAGTGGTGCCCGTATCCGTTAGCTTTTAAGAAGAGACGATTGAGCCAAGAAAAAAGCGGATTCCATGTAGGAATTTTTAAAAGGAGTGGTTGTTTGATCCATCTGGTTAAAAAGCATGTCACGACCTCGTGGCAGTCCCAATTTTCCGGCGACTACGAATGGTCGCTCTCACGGGCCTACAAGGAAACGACTTAGAACATTGCTTTAAACAATAAAATAACCAGAATGTAGTAGAAGTGACAAGTATCCCGAAATAGAGAGAAAATGGAGGCTAGTGTGTACACACAAACGGAGTTGTACCAACTCAAAGTGATGTGGGTTACTGCCATTAACCAAAACCATTGAATGACGTAGAATGCAGTAGGTTCCAGAAGAAAACTGTTCTTGCGTCGAACGAGGCCTAAAAAACAACGTCCTTTTTGGTCTCACAAAAGTGTGAAAGACAATCCGTAGATTTATGGCTGGGCAAAGTTTCGGTTTTGCTTCAAAAACCTCTCCAGGCCGAATGTGTGGGTTACAAGGCTGGTTGAGTTTTAGAGCAGAGGAGAACCAATCAGCAAGATCTCTTCCTACTGACAGGCTAAATCAGTGTTAGGCGTCGGTTAGGAGGGTTTCTAATTGTTGATATTTTAAAAAAGTGACCGACTACTCTCTTAGTCATTCAGCTTCCCTTTGGTGCCCATTAACCTTATCACTTGTTAGCCAACACTAGTAAACAGAATTCATTAACAAGATTTGACCTTCTAGTAGGAAGAGACCTTGCTGATTGGTTCCCCTGTCGTAAAACTCGGCCAACCCCGTAAGCTGGTCACCTAGACTGACAGAGCTTTTGTGTCAAAAGCGAAACGTTACCGAGCTATGTGTCTACCTATCGTTTTTCGAATCTTCTGACGCGATGAATTCTGTATCGATTCCAACAGTTTCCCAATAGACTGAGGATCAGCGTCGTGCTTGCAGCTCCAGAACACAACAAACGACACGTAAAGAAACAGTAATGCGTTGGATAAGGGAGTACTACAGTTTCAACTCTGGAATAATACTTTACAGAAGAAAATCAGGACCGGTTTGATAGAACGGAGATAGAAAAAACAAAGAGATAGCCACATATTGCCGTCTTGAATAGTTCAGTGAAGTAGTGTTGTTATATATACGCAATGCACTATTCATAAGGTTGCTGAAAATTCTTCGACAGCTCAAGACCGGTTTCGCCCTTGTTGGGGCTCACCAGGTAGACACAGTCCCCGAGTTTTCGTCAACCTTATGTTCTACTTGAAACCAGTTGCACGAACTTAGCGAAATACACTCATTTGCAAACAAACTTGGTTTTGAGAGAGACTCACCTGAAACCCAACTGAATCTCTTATTTGTGATGTTTCTAGGCAACTGCATTTGTTTGCAAATGAGTGTATTCCGCTAGTATTGTTATACTTTCTGTACAGATTGAGAATCGGGAGATGCACACCATATCACCAAGTATTGGTATATTTCACACAAAAATTAGCAACGCCATTAAAGTTACTGGCCACGGGTCTCAAACTGCGTAGCCAAGTCTGGAGCATATCGCTCTAGGATCACTTTCACCTTGTACACACCTAATAGAAGAGAACCTTGAGGCGGGAAACATTTTTTCATGCACAGTCTGAGGTCTCAACAGAACAACCTGAGGCCGGATCTGCATTGTAAATGCTTTTGTCCATCAGGATATTCGGCTCTGGACAATATTAGGAAGGCGACAGTTGCCACGAGGCTGATATCATCACAAGTTTTCATAGCTCTAATGAACGCTATATCTGGACCAAGTGCTATAGGGTTAGAAAATTTTCAATCTGGATCCTTCTTGTGGCGTACAGTTGGTGACCAACCAATAAAACATCTCTCTGAGAAAACCCATGAAAGGAAAGCACATTCTTAAAAAATGCGCACATTCTCAAAAAATGCTAGCTATAAACTAGTGCGATTCTCCGAATATAAACAAGATACTCCCTTTCTCTATGCTTTCTTCTGAATGTCCAACTGAGATATATACAGAGCAGCAGGACATACAAGTGACGTGTTTAGAATGACATATATAGAGCTTCAAAAGCGCGAAGGCTGGTGCACTAGGAATAAATAGGACCTAGTGAAAAGTTAAGGCTGGTATGGTGGCCCCTCTAACGATCATTCCTGTCACGACTTCCTCGATATTACGAACTCCTGGTAGCATACGGGCATTGTAAATATTGGCTTATTTGTCCCTCCAAAATATGACACGACGCGACCTAATCCCCTTGGCCTCGTAACAGCGAGGGAGTGAACATTTCCATCGCGAGCCTCTCTGATTAAGACATCACAGCTGGACCTCTGCGTTGTCTCAAGCACACCGAAAGAGAGACGAGCCAGTGAAAAACAGTCATGGAGAGCAAAGCCAAAGATCTACTTACTTTACGGATATTGATATGTTCACTCGGGTTACTTGTTAACGAAATCTCAACCCGTTCTAACAAGCTGACGAACTGGTCGCGGATATCTCTGGCTCGTTTCATTGTCCGGTACTGGATGAAATGTTCATAGCACCAATGCGTGGAAAAATCTGTGAAAAAAAGACAAAATGATCATAGGCTAGCGAATTGGATAATCCTGCAGTTCGTTGGTCAGACTCGCGTAAAAACAGATGTCCAGTTAAACAACCAAGCACAATAGCCAACGTGAGAGTCGTGGAATGAGAAGCTGCCGGTCGAGGTACCAGCTAAAGTCAATTAGGGGTTGTATGCACGCAACACCATGCTGGATAACAGAGACCAGTCATAGGCACTTGGGAAATAGAATTATAACCTTCTTGAAGATCTCGTCTTGGGGCCTGCACATTATTGGCCGAACCCAATAGGAACTCAAGTTTTCGACACTGACTGAAGTGAACAGATTTTTGTTGTTGTGTACACAGTGGTCTACAGAGCACATTTGGAAATAACCTTGGTAAGACGAGCCCAAAAAAGGGTTTTTTACTTTTCACTGATGCGAAGTTTCCCGTATGCAGACACACGGGTTTTTGGCAGTTCAGTGGAGATCTTCATCCGCATCTCATTTCTGAGGTACTCTATCCCCTTGTACGATTGTATAGTAATTAAACATCAGCACTAACTAGTAGACTTCCTCGATGATACTCTGAGAACAAACTCACCCGCCGCACTCCACTGGTTGTATACATTCAGCAACATGAGATGGTCTCCGGCCGTGTGGAAAAAGCCTTTTCGTGCAGTGTCTGCATGGATCAGCTTATCTTTCGGCCGATAAAAGATTGCGTTGTTCACGGATAGCATAGCAGCGATAGTGATAGCATCGCCACTACACTTGTATCTGTAGGGAAGGCTGGTGCACTAGGAATAAATAGGACCTAGTGAAAAGTTAAGGCTGGTATGGTGGCCCCTCTAACGATCATTCCTGTCACGACTTCCTCGATATTACGAACTCCTGGTAGCATACGGGCATTGTAAATATTGGCTTATTTGTCCCTCCAAAATATGACACGACGCGACCTAATCCCCTTGGCCTCGTAACAGCGAGGGAGTGAACATTTCCATCGCGAGCCTCTCTGATTAAGACATCACAGCTGGACCTCTGCGTTGTCTCAAGCACACCGAAAGAGAGACGAGCCAGTGAAAAACAGTCATGGAGAGCAAAGCCAAAGATCTACTTACTTTACGGATATTGATATGTTCACTCGGGTTACTTGTTAACGAAATCTCAACCCGTTCTAACAAGCTGACGAACTGGTCGCGGATATCTCTGGCTCGTTTCATTGTCCGGTACTGGATGAAATGTTCATAGCACCAATGCGTGGAAAAATCTGTGAAAAAAAGACAAAATGATCATAGGCTAGCGAATTGGATAATCCTGCAGTTCGTTGGTCAGACTCGCGTAAAAACAGATGTCCAGTTAAACAACCAAGCACAATAGCCAACGTGAGAGTCGTGGAATGAGAAGCTGCCGGTCGAGGTACCAGCTAAAGTCAATTAGGGGTTGTATGCACGCAACACCATGCTGGATAACAGAGACCAGTCATAGGCACTTGGGAAATAGAATTATAACCTTCTTGAAGATCTCGTCTTGGGGCCTGCACATTATTGGCCGAACCCAATAGGAACTCAAGTTTTCGACACTGACTGAAGTGAACAGATTTTTGTTGTTGTGTACACAGTGGTCTGCAGAGCACATTTGGAAATAACCTTGGTAAGACGAGCCCAAAAAAGGGTTTTTTACTTTTCACTGATGCGAAGTTTCCCGTATGCAGACACACGGGTTTTTGGCAGTTCAGTGGAGATCTTCATCCGCATCTCATTTCTGAGGTACTCTATCCCCTTGCACGATTGTATAGTAATTAAACATCAGCACTAACTAGTAGACTTCCTCGATGATACTCTGAGAACAAACTCACCCGCCGCACTCCACTGGTTGTATACATTCAGCAACATGAGATGGTCTCCGGCCGTGTGGAAAAAGCCTTTTCGTGCAGTGTCTGCATGGATCAGCTTATCTTTCGGCCGATAAAAGATTGCGTTGTTCACGGATAGCATAGCAGCGATAGTGATAGCATCGCCACTACACTTGTATCTGTAGGGATGGAAAACCAAAAGCGATGTCACAAAATGGCCTAGAAGTTTTTTCGACCTTCTTAAAGACAATCACAATAGGTCACAATGCCCTAGAATACAGTAACGGCACCTGACGAAAGCAGCCACCCCGAAGAGAAGGAAAATGTGTAAGATGGTTTTCTATCTGGGGTGTGCTCGTTTCCAAAAGGTGCCAACTGGTTGGCTTGAATGATTTAAAAAAAGGAACATATAAATTTAAATGGTAGTTTTCTAGTATCTGTATATCAGCCCTCCCAAAAATGTAAAAAACCTTTCCCATGTTTGTGTTATGTACCTAGACTCATGGACATTTAATTAGGGTTTCTACGAGCGGCGAATTTAGCTGTTCAACCACGGTGCGTCCAGTTATCATGGTGTGGTGATCTCTGTGCTTTATGTTTATTTAACCAGGAAAGACGATTCGAAGTGGATCCACATACGAGATTCTCGCACTGTGACATCATCATCATCATCACTGTGACAGAACGTAAGAGCGCTCCGTAAACTAAACAATAAAGAGAATGCAGACATAAACCCAATCAGTTAGGGGCAGAATAGTTGAGGTATTCCGGGAATCCCTAAGTAAGCGTACGCCAAGAAGAGTTTTTTTTATTTGACAGAAGACTATGACTCTATATGCACGAAAACAGGCGTATAAATTTCTGTCCCAAGTGCCGCACAGGCCTGTGCATCACGGAAGAAAGTATCAGTGTTGACAAAGACGCTGCACTGCCATACAACCACAAAGCTCGGTTGATAACCCTCACACTGCTGTAGCACCCTTTTGGTTCCTAACTGCCATGCCACAAGAAGCAAGCACGGCGGCCAGGATACTGTCAGGTTGTCCGAGCCTAGACAGGGGAAGTCGAGATGTAGAGGTCAGGTTTGAACCACGGAGCTGCCCGTCAGTAAATTCGCGCTCTACCTACTGAGCCATCTCAACCCAAGCGTTTGCAACCGAAGTGTTGACAGACATAGGACCTGGCATATACTGATATACCCAATATACTCATCCTTGCAAACTCTCAAACGGAAAACATGGTCAGGAATCGTTTGCACGTAAGTCACTGATATTATCATGAACAGCAACACACCAAAAGTGGAAACTGGCGCTTCGAGACGTGTAGCAGTTGTATACGCATATAAGAATTCAAAGATAGACACTAGAAGCTGTGGATTACTGAAAGTATCTCGGAAGTTGAATTAGCTCTGAAAGCTATGTAACAGACGAAGGTAACGCACGAATCTCGAAGGAGGCGTGTATCAGAGCACAGTACGCATTGTATTGTTGTACGGCTGTGGAATCTGACCCTCTCAGGTGAAATATCGGCGACATCTTCAGGTTCTTGACCACCGACGTCTCAGAACTATTGCGATTACACAATAAGCATAAGTAGTTTCAAGGGATGCATCCGACGCTGCAAGCTTAGGTGCATGGGCCATGTGTTAGGCTTAATTAGAGGTTGCAGAAACTGAAACGTGGGTAGAATATGACACGGTTATTTGCCTTTCATGATGAGGTCTACATGACCCTCCCCATGTAACCTTGAGAACGCACATGTCAGACACCCCAACGGCATGGAAGAAACGGTCTTTCTGCGTCACCTGGCACCTTCTGTAGATTGCGGATGTGCTCTAGCATCCAAACAGCAGCAACCGCAGTCCAACGCTGATACATTTATTAGATTGAAACTATCTGGCTCTGTTTCGGAAAATAATAGAAATTGTTCAGCTTTAACACCCTTCCGGTGCCTAGCTGCCATGCCAGCCGAAAGAAAGCACGAGGGTCGGAATACTGCCAGGTCGCCCAAGCCTAGACAGGGGAAGTCGAGAGGCAGAGGTCGGGTTCGAACCAGGAACCCTCCGGTCAGTGAATTCGCGCTGAGCTATTTCGCTCCCCAGACAGACGCTGAGTTAAGGAAATTTAGGAACACTTGAAGGCCAAATCAAGATTGTGGCGTAAGTGGCCTTCACAACGCTTTTGCTAACCAAGTGACTTGATCAACCAATTGAATATGGATTAGTTGATCAGTGCACCCCTTCGTGCACATAATGGGTAAACTAGATACCTAGCCTGATCCGGAAACAATGGTAAACAAACGTGATTGGTCTGCGGAAGCTGGCAGTATGCTGACTAAGAAAACATGTCAAAAATTATCAATTATTAACAAGGAACCTCTTCACCGATCAAACGCATTCCACCGACGTTGCAGTTTGTAGAGTAGTGAGTGGAGGAAATTACATGGTTCAAATGAGGAGGTTTTCCAAGGTATCGCATAATTTGTAGAAGCATTGAGGATGAGATACCATCGGGTTGCGAAAAAGTGTGAAAATCAGATGCTTAAACGAATGAACTTCACCAGTTCTAAAATTACGCCTGAACTAGTTTCACTAATATCGGGAACCAATTCGCAAACTTACTTATCGGACGCCAAAATCATTTTCGACAACATCGGGTCACAAGGAAACTCAGCCATTTGACGCCCCATTTTGGTTAGTTCGCCTCGGTGATTCAACGCTCCCAAAGCATACAACTGCTCCAAAGCCATGATGAGAGAGTCATGCGGAGGTGGGTCCATATAGTCAAAGTGCAACAAATCATCGATACCAAGGGATTTCAGAAGTAGTACCACATTACCCAGGTTGGTGCGCTGGATCTCCGGGACGGGTTGCGGTTCCAGTTCAGTGCGGTAAGCATGGGCAGTGTAAAGCCGGAAACACTTTCCCGCAGCTACTCTTCCGGCACTGAAGATTGTAAATGTGCATGGGAGGATCAGCTACAGCAAGAGTTTGACAACCTAAAAGTGTCTCCAACATTAGTGGTTTCGGGGTTGTCAGGTTTGGAGTAAAGCTATCAGCTAGGGGATCTGAGAAGGTAACTGGTCCAAGCCTAAGACATTACGAAGTAACTCTAAAGCTAGTAGGGTGCATGGCGTTTCTACATGAACAGTAAGTATAATCCGAATAGCTGAGTACCCTTCATATTGAGCCATGCCTGTTTTAGTTTAGGTGTACAACTTTAATGTCGCCTAAAAAATTTTAAATAGTGGCGTCGTTTACATGCTAACCTCATATAATTTTGCATGTAACATACTTCAAGCCATCGAATGGCGAAAATGGAAGAGTTTCAAAAAAGTGTGAGCAGTTAGAGACCACATACAATAAAAACTAGACTCGAGGTAAAACAACTGTTCGGAGATACCGAAAACAGTGATACCACTGGAAATATGCTTGAGCAAATCGTCTGACCTATGAGCTTCGGGAATGAGTAGAACACGAAAACCGCAGCAGTATGACTGCTTTCTATCCACAAGGTAAGAGACCTTTAAAAACAGCAGCGGAGCGATAGAGACAATGGAACACGACTCACCGACCAGCACGTTGATCTGCTGCAGCCTGTGAGATCGGTACCACGATTAGAGATTCAATACCTGAGCGGGCGCTGTAGAACTTTTGCTTGCAGAAACCCGTATCAATAACATAGATTATCCCATCGATAGTCAGAGATGTCTCAGCAATATTGGTAGCAAGAACGACCTTACGGGCACCTGGAGGGGTTGGTGAGAAAATCCGTGCCTAAAAATAAGAAGAACAAGAGGAGTTAAAATAACAGTAGTCCGTCAGGAAGTAAAACTTGGTAGATATCAAATGATGCAATCGACAGAAGACAAAAACATTTACTTACTGAGCCTAGCGGACCGGAAGGTCCATGGTTCGAACCAAACCCTAGAATTTCGACTGATCCCGGTTAAGCTTGGGTGACCTGGTATTATCTTAGCCCTCGTGTCTTCTTCGAGTCGGAAGTGACGCACTTAAAGGGTGTCACAAATGATCAACCATTACTCAATTCAGTTTAATTCATCAGCCATTAACCATACACCGAGGGCACATTGGTTCTAGCTGCAAAGGTTTTGGTCACCAGAAAATGAGAGGGGGGAGATAAAGCCAACGCATTGAAGGCGATGATGCCAAATCGTTCTAGTTGTCTAGGGATGCCAGTTATGGCATCAATCTGCCCAAGTAGTCAGCTAACCAGTGACTGATCACTAGCGATAGCTAGCAGTGAACGGAGTTGTTCACCAACTAAGCGATCGCAAGCTGTCATTCAGTTTTCTGTAAAGTGAACATCATCAAGCATCCAACTGAACTTTCCTGGACGTGGTTTGAACACTAAACAGAAATGAACACTGGGAGCGGTTCAATAATTTCCACANAGCGGTTCAATAATTTCCACACCAACGCATCAGATACAGGGATGGCGCTTCAACACTTGGTCAGACGCTACTCGCATATACACCGTAACACCAGGACGCGGTTACAACCAGATGAAACCGTACAGCTTAGAAGGTAGGCGTTAACGGTCATCTGCATACCGCTAACAGATACTGTGGGATCTTTGTGCCCTCTTCCTTAAGGTTTACGCGACGATTCTTGCTCGTAGTTAGAAACCCTACGATCCTGATAGCAGGTACGCTTTCATTTTCTACTTGGAGGTTTACGCGACGATTCTTGCTCGTGGTTAGAAACCCTGCAAGACATCGTAAATATACGATCCAGATAGCAGGTACGCTTTCATTTTCTACTTGGGCTGCCTAGCCGAAATTCGTACGCCATTGTGAGTCGAGTATGTGTGTGTGTGTGGGGGGAGGTAAAGTTCACAAGGGAGATTGAGTCCTAATCAGACATGACGTTCAGATGTGTTTATTTCATTATGCGCTCCTGATCGTTATTCTTAGAGCTATGAGGCTTCCTCACGAAAAATATCTACCTCTCCCATACATAGTACGGCACCTAAGTGCCTGGTGTTGTTGCCAATCATGATAAGAATTGCAGTATTGCTGTTAAAATGAGGAAATGGATACTGGTCATTTTCGAAGCGAACGTGGCAAGGGATGACGAGCACAGCGTGAAGTGATGAATTAGCTAGTAAATCCCATGTGTTTTTGTTGCTACCCCATGTTAAGAAAGGAAGAAATTTCCCCGTCTCTATGAACAACAGATCGGCCATTTCAAACAAGATACTTCGACTTCATCATCGCCCGTGTTTTTTGACGGTAAAAGTGTATGGCACAATGCGTACATGAATGAACACCCCGAAATCACAAAGAAATATCAAATAAAAGTTAGTTCATTCGACCCTACTTGCATATCCGAAGGAAGTGTGGAGTAGATTGGCAGTATGAGGAGCTCCCGTATTTTACTACCCAATTTCCGAGTTCGCTCGACCAACATCTCATTGGCTGTTTCTATTTCCTCCTGTCCAGTTAGAAATACCAGGATGTCACCCGGTGGTTGAGTTACATGAATCTGAAGCACTGAGATCACCGCAGCTTCAATATAGTCCGCCTCTGGAGCCTAATACGAAAAAACAAAACAATGGTATATTTTCATAAAGGAAACTACTCACAAGGTTGCTAAAAACTCTTCGACAAAACAATGGTATATGTAAATCAGTATGTCAAGCAACAGGGGATGTGATAGTATTTGATGGGACAAACTCGGAAAATATACTCTACATGTGTCACACAACCTGAAGGAAACGCAAGGACTGGGATACTCCCAGGCTACTCAAACCTGAACAGGAGCAGTAGAAAAGCTCCAACTGAATTCAATTCAACGACGGCCAGCCTAGTAGCCCATGCCCTAATTCCTAAGCTACCTGAAGCTCATGTGTTTGTTCAACGTTCGACCAGGGAAAGCGGATTTTGACTAGTTTCGAGAGGCATACGAGAAAAACGTTTTCCATGCCCCTTATTTTTCTGTATTGTGAACAAAAACAAGAACGATCGCATTTTCTACTGTGGTGCAGTCAGGCAAAGACGTTCGTCTCCGTTCGACTGAGCAACTAGCTTTGTCCCGCGTTTTTAGTGTTTTGTCTTTCCAAATCTTCTGAAAAAGATGGTCGTGTGTCTGAAAACTTTAATCATAACATTGTTCGTGCTTGATATAGTAGTCTCGTACACAAGATTTTGCAACAATAACGCAGTATCCGCCCTAACGAACTAGCCAAAAATTGCAAAATAAACTTGATATCGTCCAACCTGCATTGGCTGGTGGAATAAACCTCCGTGAAAACTGGCGGACACTGGTTTTGCACGACTACCTGACTGACTGGGTGAAGGTGCCAGTACCTTGGAGTGCTCGCAGTGGGCTAAGTCTATTGTTCCTTTCAATCTTTTGCTCTACGAAACAGCTTCAAATAAATTATGACTGCACGGTAATGAAGAGTCCGACACTGATTTCTGCCATCGATGATAAAGCTCGTTGATAAGGAGGTTTAAGGAGGTTTATATTTACTATCACGCTATCTACTCAGAAAATTGATTCCGTACAAAAATCAGAGTGACCAGAACCCATACTCAGGCTGCTGATAAGCAATACGATTTTTCGAGGTTGTTCTACGTGCCGTTTTGTTAACTTTACCGAAAAAGGCTTCAGCTGGTAGTTTATACAACAGGTAATTGAAGAATGCGTCACGTATTTATTGCGGGGTTTGTTACACTACTCCGAATTCTATGCCTGCCGTCTTTAGCAAATGTTCAACAAGAATCTCACCACTACGTAGCGACATATCTGGCTGTTTCGTTATACGGCAACGTACCACGCACTTCTGTACAAAGTTGCTAAAGACTATCATTACGCTTTTCTACCTATTGCATCCACATGTAAGCCCAGAGCCCGTTTCCCAGTACCGGAAAACATGTGTACACGAAGATTCCCCTAAATACATTAGACTCGACAGACAACATCATTCTTCAGAGCAAACTGCCAAGCCGATCATGTGAATTACTAGTTCCTTTTCATCAGCGTATTGTGAACATATGTTACGAGCACAGTCCCATGCATATATCTTCCAGTTTTTAAGACTAAGGAACAATAAAACTGCGGACAGGTTACGGCAAGAACTGATACAAGCTCCCCCATAAAATAAATACAAAACAAGCGACTTGCCTTCGTGTAGTAAATATCAACGGGATATCGTCTTCCGGGAATACGGAATACGGGTGCATCGTCGAAAAATTTGGCGAATTTCTCGGCATCGAGCGTAGCGGAACTTATGAGAAGTTTGAGATCGGGACGGAATCGAGCGACATCCTGTGGGTGGGAAAATAACGGATGAACAACAAGACACATAAAACAAGCGACTTGCCTTCGTGTAGTAAATATCAACGGGATATCGTCTTCCGGGAATACGGAATACGGGTGCATCGTCGAAAAATTTGGCGAATTTCTCGGCATCGAGCGTAGCGGAACTTATGAGAAGTTTGAGATCGGGACGGAATCGAGCGACATCCTGTGGGTGGGAAAATAACGGACGAACAACAAGGACCCCATATAACACGACTAAAAGTAGGGAAAAGGAATGATAATGGGAGAATAATGTATTACCTTGACCAACCCGAAGAGTATATCTGTGTGAAGTGTCCTTTCATGGGCCTCATCGATCAGCATGACCGAGTAGCCGCCCAGATCTGGCTCAAGGAGAAATTCGCGAAGCAGCATGCCGTCAGTCATATATTTTATTAGTGTGCGCTCGGAAGTGCAGTCCTCAAAACGTATCGAGTAGCCCACTTCGCCTCCTAACTTCACATTCATTTCCTGCGAAACGCGAGCTGCAACAGACATGGCAGCGACACGACGAGGCTGCGTGCACCCGATTCGTTTACCGCCGACACAATAACCCTAGATCGGATGGAAGAGAAACAAAATAACTCGGGGTATCGGTGGGAAGCAAGGACACCAGACATTTGTGCATTGCCAATAAAGTGACTACAGTCAGTGTATTGGAAGTAAGACACAGTGTTTCAGTGTCTTCAGGTATTCCAGTAACTGTCTACTTTGAATGATAAGCTCCAACCAAGACTAATAAAAGTCCGCAGGTTACATCACCGGTTTGAAAATGTTCGACGAAGAATGGGCGGATAGCCCTGAGGCTACGACACATGCAACCATGTGTGCCAACTCATGCGAAGAGACGCAGCAAATTAGTTTATTACCTGCAGTAACGTTAACCACTTTGAGGGTTTTTCATCGGCTTAACAATCCCTACTATAGCTGGGTCGCTTAGCCGGTAGTGTTTAGATACTTGGTGGCATCATGAGACTTGTTTTCCTTACAAGGTAAGGCCCTCGACACTAGAACGATCAGAAAAATGTGGACCCCAAATTGCGGGCGAATTTGACCGCACACCTGGACAGAGAATTCTCATGTACTTCGAATCAGACTTCGCCGTCTTATCATAGTCAACCCCCAAACTGAACAAGGCGCAAAGATTACTGCATCTTTTGCAATAAATTGGGGGCAATTTTTTCAATTTTATTAAAGAACATATCAGAGATAATGCTCATAAGCACGCTTCAATCGTACGGTCAAAAATAGGAGGCAGCCTAAGGCACCAGATAATTTGTATTCCATAACGACTGTCCCCCGTGGAAGAGTAAGTCGACTTTTCTGTCATGATACGAAGGGTCCGAACCTAAATTTGCCCACGCCGAAAGTCAATTCCGGCTCTAATGGCGGACACCGTCAAGTAGCCAAAGGCTCGAGCATCCCACGTCCATTTTCACGGTGTTGATATCTCATTTTAGCTGAAACATCAAGTAACATTGTCATTCGGGGCGCGGTGACGGTGTGATTATCTCAAGTCCTAAGACGAGAGACATCCCACGTCCATTTTCACAGTGTTGATATCTCTTTTTAGCTGAAACATCAAGTGACATTGTCATTCAGGGCGCGGTGACGGTGTGTGATTATCTCAAGTCCTAAGACGAGAATGAAACACTGCAGTCTGCTCGAATACTTCGCACAATGTTTTGTATTTATAATTATATCGCCCTCAAGGAGGTAGTCAAAACAGATTCTCGATGTTGCAGTAAAGATGTCTGAGACTACAGACGCGTAGTTGCTTTGGCCCTAACCTAGACATTCGGAAGTAAGATCGAGCTGATTTCTGAAGACGATTAGGAATCGAGTAGGTTCACCCGTGACTGAGAGTTGGGTGCCTGGATTTGTAAGGAGTGCAAGGAACTTGGCTTTGTTGGTGCTCATTTGTAGATCAACGTAGTCCGCAGTTTATGTGAATTCCATTGGTGCGATTGAGAGCTGGTGATATCCTGGTGTGGTGGTGATGTCGTCAATGTATTCACTTTCTATAACTTGAAGGTGCGCAAGGGTAGCCAGAGAGCGTCCAATCCACCATCCAATCTCTTGTGCGATCAAATAATACCGCTGAAAACGGGCGACTTTAACCCCGAGCGCGTAGACAGCTTTGAAATAATAATTTTCGCAAATAAACGCCTTTTTTGAAACCGAACAGTGTAAGTAATTGATGACAGAATCGCAAGACAGCTGAAGCTCTCTTACTACCAAAATCGTCCCTTGATTAATGGACCATAAAATACTTTTCATGTTGTCACAGATAAGGTGAGGTGTGCCAGTATCCAAAGCACGCTAGTTTCATGGCCTAGAATATTAAAACGTATGAGACAGTATGGTTCCGATGACTTTGTCATGTTTTCACCTGCAGCTCCCTGTCCGAATAGTACGTTCTAACTTACACACCGGTAACTGATCAGTGGGGGTAACTGGAATTTTAGTGAAGACGTATCGCAACAGGTAGGTCTTGTTTTGACCAACTGTCGAATTAGCCAGGGCAACCGGATAGCCAATGACGAGTCAGGTTGCTCATCTATCTGGTAACCGATTCTCAAAGAAGAACTGATAAGCACCAAAGCACTAAGTAAGAATTTGATCGGACTTCTGTAGCGAGGGCGTAGTTGTATTCGTGACAGCTCAACGACACGAAACCTTGCTCATGACTGACCTCATCAATGCTCAAAGAATGAGTCTCAATAGGGAAGAAAGCTCTCGGGTGACTGGGATTTTCGAGATTCGAGCATCATAAGGGGATCCACCAAAGTCACTTTTCATTAAACTGGCTAATTCCATCGAATACAACAAATAATTTCCACTACAGATCACGGACGAAGGAGACCAATCAGACAAAGCGAGTAACTTGATAACTGATGAGACAGTACCGACGGGTGCAATTCGATGTCATAAAAAAGCTATATAGTTACGGTACAATAAATACAGCAAGTGGCGAAATCAACTAATTTACAAAATAATACTTGTTCCGTTTTTTACTGATTTCCGCTCAGAAACCGCCTCTCAGAAGAAATCATTTACGGTGAACCTGGTCAAGCGCTCTCTCCAGATGAAATTATACGGGCCTTCAGGTCATCGGTCACTACACAGTAGTTCAGCGGCCAATCGGTGCTAGCGTCAACGTCTCGTTATCTAACTGATTGTTGGCGTGCAGCATAGGTAGGCAGGTACTTCTAACTGAACGGTTCAGTGGCTTCACTATTTACTGACAACACTGTAGACATCCAATTGTCTATTTCCAAGCTTAAGGTAAGTTGAACCCTGTCCTACTTTGTCTCTTCGGGTTAGCAGAACGATCTGCTTTTTACCTTTGTGGGGGGATGGTGTGATTACCTCAAGATTATAACGACTACTAACAGCAGTCCAACTGGCCTACGGTCGGGTAACTCGGTCTACCAATAGTTCGAAATATTGACCAGACCAGCTAGAATAACCGCCGTTGAGCACACGCTATAAAGTACATCTCACTCAAAGAAACACACCGGTCATGGGACTAATAAGTCGTACGGTGAATCCAGCTGCTCACCGCATTAATAAGTACCATACCCAAATAGCTAGGCTTGGTACCGAATATCCTGGTTATCCATAGCTAAAAAGAGTATTGGGCACAAAACTGCAAAAAATTCCAAGTTTTTTGAAACGGTTATTACTTTGACCATCCATTCAATGGAAAAACTTGCGGGAGTAGAATAAAGGTGATTCCTCGAGGAGAGAGCGCCTCTATTCGGAGGAGCCACAGCACTTCGATGGGGCTGAAATGCACAATCAGCAAACGGTCTCGCGTCTCGAAACTACCAGGGACAAAATACTGACCTTCAATTCGGCTAAGTTCACGAGGGTATGAGGTTGTGTATGTGGATACTAGGTCGAATCAATCTGTCTACTATTCCAGCACTTTTGGCTGGCGTACTGCCCATTATAGCTCTCAAATAAGGAGACATTCAGATTCCCATGTTGACCTCACAAAAACAGGGTGAAAAGGCACACACTCGAGCGTAAACCTGAAGTTGACCTGACGTGAAAGGAACCATTTAAAGCGGAA